GGATAGAAAACGTTGGGGGGGGGGGGTGGGGTACTGTTCATTTTGGTTCAAGCAAAAAGCCATGAGATGGCTGCTAAGCAGAAGATGTATGAACGAGAGGGTAGGGTTCCGCTTTTGCACTGTTGTTGCGGCTCTGCTCTTTTTAGAGTCTTCTGGCGTATTTTTTGTTGTCCTTAGCCCATTGTGGCTGTATAGTTATATATAGAGTCTAGGTTTAGGTTATTATTTTTGTGTATTTTTGCCAATTAGTCCCTAGGTCTTTTTGTGTTAAGTCCTTAAGGTTTTTTATTTGTTTTTATTCTAAAGAAGAGTCTAGAAGGGTCCTAGGCTTAAATGGACTAACCCGAATTGGGCCAAGAACTGGGTCTAAGACTCTTAAAATTTGTGGATCCAACACCTTAATTGACTCCTTTTAAAATAAGATAAAAATACTACACATGCCAAAGCTAATCCTAATTAATTAAACTAAACATGAAACTATTTTTTGTGTTTTCGATATTATATATAAGATTAAAAATACAGGTACTATTTTTGTATTTTTTTTCAAAATTTATGAAAAATACATAAACTAAAATATTTTTTTTGTAATTTTCATTTATCTCGTACTAAAATAAAGTAAAACGTCAAAATTAATTGAAATACGCGCTATTAGGCCTAAATTAAATATTTTACATGCTAAATATGAAAAATCTTGGGGAGGGTCAAAAATTACATGTCTACACCATTGTATAGCTAATAAGGATGTAATAGGGGTTTAGTGCCCTGTATCACTAGGAGGAAATGTAACCAGGGGTGGCGCTCTGTATCACTAGGAAAGAATGTCACAGGGTTGTTACCCTGTATTTGCTGAGTAGGAATGTAAACAGGGGTCGGTACCCTGATTATTGAAAGGAAATTTAGCCAGAGGTTGGCGCCTGTATCACTGATAAGGAGATGTAACTAGGTGTTGGTACCCTGTATTACTGAAAGGAAGTATAACCAAGGGTTGGTACGGTCTACCGTCGTATTACTGAAAAGAAATGTAACCACGGGTTGGTGCTATGTATTACTAATATAAGTAGGATTCCCCTAGGGGCGAAAAGGTTCTACCTGGGTTAAGCTACGTAAAAACAGCCTGAGCGAAGAGTACTTCTACCTAGAAATATGAGCTGGATACCCCCCAGTCGAAAAGGTTCTATCTGGGTTAAAGCTAAGTAAAACAGCTTGAGCGAAGAGTACTTCTACCCGGAATATGAGCTTGACCCCCCTAGGCGAAAATGTTCTACCTGGGTTAAGTTACGTAAAATAGCTTAAGCGAAGAGTACTTCTACTAGGAAATATGAGCTGGATTCCCCTAGCGTTAAAATGTTCTATCCTGGGTTAAAGCAATGAAAATGGTTTGTATGAAAAATAGGGATGCATGCTAAAAATAAAAGAAAAATGGAGAGTTTGAGGAACTTTCATTTGGTGACATTCCGTCTTGTGAGAATCTCCATTCTACACTGCTTTGTTCCTGCTTTTCAAACAAAGAAAAGTTTGTTTAGTTTTCAAAGTGGTGGTCAGTTTGTTGGTCTTGATGTCCCGAGTAGTTTGAATTCATGGCCACTGCTATCGAAGAACCAATTTTGTGTGTACCGTGATGCTCGGATATACCTTTCTGGAGGCCTTGGCTTTCCAACGTTGCCCTGACTGTTTCGTACCCGGATGTCCATGGTACCGCTAATCCTTGTCCGCTTAAGGCAAAGGAAATTCCCTTAAAATCAAACTTAGTTGTCTTGCACCCCAGTACTAGTTTGTGTCTTGTGGTGTCTTATCAACTTTCCCATAAGCCAGTTCTTGCTTTAGTCGGTCTTTTGTAGTTTCTTTGAGACACTTTGTTCGTCTTATCAAAAGAGATCACAAATGGATTCTTGCTTGGTCAAATGCTCATATGCCCAAAATTGTGCTTAGTATTACGGGGAAACTGTAGTCAGTTTTTGGAGCCATTCTCTTGGTCGGTTCGTTTTTAATGCAAGATTAGACAAACGGACTCAAAAGAACAATTATGGGAAAAAACTATTGTTAGTCTCGTGTGCCCTTGGACTAAGATACTGCATGCGGCAGGTTGTCCAACACCTTGGCATGGTGACTTTAGCATTCTTCAAAGGTTCAATTGAAGGTCTTAAACGAGAAAAGGTGAAAAGAACCTTGAACGTGAATTACAACTTTTGGAACCTTTTTATTATAATTACCATAAAAATAAACAAACTTCTTGCCCCCAGTTTTGGGGTATTGGGGTTATGGATTTTTTTTGTTGTTGATGGGACCGAACCCGAAGGTGAGGGTGCCTACGTATCCTTTTGGAATCAGGTTCAAGCGTTGTTCATTAACTCAGAAGATTGTTGTTTGACATTTTTTTGTTTATTTTTTCTTTTTTAGCTTTTGCTTTTACAAGTACACAGTTCCAAAAAGAGGGAAAACAAAGATGACAAATACGGCTCTAAAGGGTTAACAAAAGGGCGACACCTATTTGAGATAATAAGCATTGATAGCCTTCGCTATCTCGATCTGAGAAAATCATGCGTGGAAGTTTTCGTACTGGGTATTATCAAATTAAATCTTTTCAACTACATCTGGCGGTTAATAGTCATGTTTTGGTACCGTCCTTCTTCATCTACCAAGCGCAAGGCCCCTCTTGGTAATACTTTCTTGATGATGTAGGGTCTTGCAGTTCGGGGCGAACTTTCCTTTAGCTTCTACTTGGGTGCGGAAGGATATGTTTCAAATATGAGTTGGCTTACCTCAAAGTTTCCTTGGGCACACTTTCTTGTTATAAGTGTGTGCTATTCTTTGCTGGTATAGCTAGCCAAAACAACTTCTTGTTAGCTGTTTTTCATCAACCAGCATTAGCTGTTCTAAATAAGTCTTGACCCATCTCGGTGTCTTCAATCTCTTATTCCATAATTGATTTGGAGATAGGAAATTTCGTCTTCAATCCGGTATTAACAGCTTCAGTTCATATACCAGCGGATAAGGAGTTGCACCTAAAATATGCAAGTAGTCGTTGCGGTATCCCAAAAGAGCAAAAGGCAACTTTTCATGCCATTGCTTGGACCTTGGATCATCTTCCTGATAATCTTCTTTATGTTCTTTGTTTGCTGCTTCAGCGACTCCATTGGCTTTTGGATGGTAAGGGGTAGAGTGGCGATGCACAATTTTTAATTGCTCGCATACCTCTTTCATCAGATGACAATTTAGATTGGCTGCATTGTCAGTGATAATGATTTTTGGGATACCAAAACGACAGATGATGTTGGAATGAACAAAGTCTACACTGTTTCTTGGTGACTGCTTTGAAAGTGGAGCGGCTCTCACCCATGGTGAAGTAATCAATGGTGACCAAAAGTGAAATCTGTGCCCGTTTTGAAGCTTTGGCTCGATAGGCCAAATAACATCCATCCCCCAAGCAACGAAAGGCAATGAGAGGACATGGATGCAATTCGAACGGAGGCGAGTGAATCATGTCGCCGTAAATCTAGCATTGGTGACACTTGCGAACAAAACTGAGAGAAAAATCTCTCTCCATAGTAAGCAATAATATTCAGCCCGCATAATCTTCTTCGCCAAAAAACGGTATATCCATTTCATGTGAGGGCCCACATACCCGGAATTAACTTCACTCATGATCCGCTAGCTCTATTGCATTTATGCATTCTCAATAGGTTAAAAGTCTGCCTACTTGCTTCTTTGGCATCTATGCATCTTAACATGTGAGTCAGGGGTCCATTTAGGACAGAATTCCCCTATTCAGGAAGAAGCCACCGGCGAGCCGCCTTTAGTTCTTTTTTATCTCCTTGGATGCTCATAGGTATTCCTTGATTTAGGAATCGTTTTATGTCATGATATAATGCGTTCACTGATAACTAGGGATTCTAGTCTATATTATGCTCCTTTTTGCTTATGTTTTGGATTAAAAGTGTATAAAAAGTAATCCCAGAAGCTAAACATGTTGTGCTTGTTTACAGTGTTTGGTCAAAAAGAGACAAGAAAGTCAAACCAGCTCAAAAGTTGAGTGAAAACCTGCACAAATCAAAGCTGAGTCAACTGAGCGCTGGTAGTAAAAATCAACCGCGGACGCGGAGGGTCCACCGCTGAGGGGTTCTTGATTCTCGCTGGTTCTCGCAGTGGAAAAGTTCAGAGAAGTGTTTTTGGGGCTTGCAAGTTACCTGCTGCGCGCGTGCTTTTGGTCGGCAGCGTGTGTCTTCTACTGCGGCAGCGGTTCCTTTTATCGCGGTCCGCGGTGCCAAGGTTGAGAGAGCTGTAATTTTGGGGCTTAAAAAGTCACCGCAGCCATGATGGAATTTGCGCGGCAGCGGTGGTTTTTAATGCGGCCGCAGTCATTTTATCGCTCTCAGCGGAAGCCATTTGAGAACAAAAGAGAAGTTACAAGTTGAATGACCGCGGTCGCAATTGATTCTACTACGCGGCCCGGGTAGTCATTCGTTGCAGCGGTCCATTTCGCTGTCAGGCGGAACCTCCGTAGGGGCATTTTTGTCCAGAAAATTTAGCTATGTATAAATACTTCTTTTTCAGATTTTAGGTCATCTTATCTGTTGGGTAAGCTACTGTAAAACTGTTTTTAGCCTTTTTGAGTAATTTTATAGCTTGTTTAAATGAATCTTAGATCTTTACTTGTAATTACTTTTTTATGGGTTATTCTTTCATCTGAATCTTTGATTTCTTACATTTGTTTGAGTAGCATAGACCCATTAGCTAGGTTGTGGTGAATCCTGGGTGGTGTAATTGGAGCTTCCACGCCAAAGAGAACACCAAATACAAGACCCCATTCCCTGTAACTTCATCTTCTCGACAACAATAAGACCCCTCCGACTCTGTTTCTTCTTCAGCACAAAAACGACCCCATTTCTCTTCTTCTTCAATGAGAGCTAACCCCTAAATCTATGAATGAAGAAGAGAACAAAATATACAGAAGGAGACAGGCTACGAATTAGATCTGAAAACTAAGAAAAGATCTCTGAAAATCTTGATTTCCAAGAAGTTTGGGGTCGAGATTCGGTGCTCGACTATGGAGGTTTGCCGGACCGGTGCGATTTCAGTCGAGGTCCGGTCAGGGGCGTATGCATCGTCAAGTTTTAGAACAGTCAGGATCATTTCGTTATAGAGGTCCGGTTTAAACTTTTCTACTTTATCTTTTCTCACGTTAATGTGCTGTATTTATTTGCTATCCTACCTTTAGCTATTGTTATATGGAATTTGCTTTCTCTGCTTCACATTGATGTAATAGCAGGACCGCGGACCGGAACCTCGGCGGAACGGCACCTCGACTGGCTCTCCACCTCGGCATACTCCATCATCTCACTCACCTCCGAACTACACGGGGCCTGATTCCTTTATAGCCAAGGATATGTAGGCAGCTCAGATACCAGGGCTCGGTCACATTCTCCTTTTCTTTCAGTTTCGGTCTCTTCAAATAAGGGTCGAGTCAAAAAACATGTCTAGTCGTTCTTTGTCAGAAAACTCTTCGTGTTTCCAGTCAAAGAGGGGCAGCTGTAGACATGTAATTTTTGACCCTCCCCAAAATTTTTCATATTTTAGCATGTAAATATTTAATTTAGGCCTAATAGCGTCATTTCAATTAATTTTGATGCTTTTACTTTATTTTAGTACAAGAAAAATGAAAATTACAAAAAATATTTTAGTTTATGTATTTTTCATAAATTTTGAAAAAAATACAAAAAATAGTATCTTATTTTTATCTTTATATAATATTGAAAACACAAAAGGTAGTTTCATGTTTAGTTTAATTAATTAGGATTAGCTTTGGCATTGTGTAGTATTTTTATCTTATTTTAAAAGGAGTCAATTAAGGTGTTGGATCACAATTTTAAGAGTTTTATAACCCAGTTCTTGGCCCAATTCGGGTTAGTCCATTAAGCCTATGGACCCTTCTAGACTCTTCTTTAGAATAAAAACAAATAAAAAAGACCTTAAGGACTTAACACAAAAAGACCTAGGGACTAATTGGCAAAATACACAAAAATAATAACCTAAACCTAGACTCTACATATACTAACGCCTACAATGGGCTAAGGACAACAAAAAAAATACGCCAGAAGACTCTAAAAAAGAGCAGAGCCGCAACAGTGCAAAGCGGAACCCTACCCTCTCGTTCATCATCTTCTTGAAGCAGCCATCTATGGCTTTTTGCTGAACAAAATAACAGACCCCCCCCCCCCCAACGTTTTCATCTGGAGCTTCCACGCCAAAGAGAACACCAAATACAAGACTCCATTCCCTGTAACTTCATCTTCTCAACAACAATAAGACCCCTTCGACTCTGTTTCTTCTTCAGCACAAAAACGACCCCATTTCTCTTCTTCTTCAATGAGAGCTAAACCCTAAATCTATGGATGAAGAAGAGAACAAAATATACAGAAGGAGACAGGCAATGAATTAGATCTGAAAACTAAGAAAAGATCTCTGAAAATCTTGATTTCCAAGAAGTTTGGGGTCGAGATTCGGTGCTCGACTGTGGAGGTTTGCCGGACCGGTGCGATTTCAGTCGAGGTCCGGTCAGGGGCGTATGCATCGTCAAGTTTTAGAACAGTCAGGATCATTTCGTTATAGAGGTCCGGTTTAAACTTTTCTACTTTATCTTTTCTCACGTGAATGTGCTGTATTTATTTGCTATCCTACCTTTAGCTATTGTTATATGGAATTTGCTTTCTCTGCTTCACATTGATGTAATAGCAGGACCGCGGAGCGGGACCTCGGCGGAACGGCACCTCGACTGGCTCTCCACCTCGGCATACTCCATCATCTCACTCACCTCCGAACTACACGTGGCCTGATTCCTTTATAGCCAAGGATATGTAGGCAGCTCAGATACCAGGGCTCGGTCACATTCTCCTTTTCTTTCAGTTTCAGTCCCTCCAAATAAGGGTCGAGTCAAAAAACCTGTCTAGTCGTTCTTTGTCAGAAAACTCTTCGTGTTTCCAGTCAAAGAGGGGCAGCTGTAGACATGTAATTTTTGACCCTCCCCAAGATTTTTCATATTTTAGCATGTAAATATTTAATTTAGGCCTAATAGCACTAATTAATTTTGACTCTTTTACTTTATTTTAGTACAAGAAAAATGAAAATTACAAAAAATGTTTTAGCTTATGTATTTTTCATAATTTTGAAAAAAATACAAAAAATAGTACCTTATTTTTATCTTTATATAATATCGAAAACACAAAAAATAGTTTCATGTTTAGTTTAATTAATTAGGATTCGCTTTGGCATTGTGTAGTATTTTTATCTTATTTTAAAAGGAGTCAATTAAGGTGTTGGATCACAATTTTAAGAGTTTTAGAATCCAGTTCTTGGCCCAATTCGGGTTAGTCCATTAAGCCTAGGGACCATTCTAGACTCTTCTTTAGAATAAACACAAATAAAAAAGACCTTAAGGACTTAACACAAAAAGACCTAGGGACTAATTGGCAAATTACACAAAAATAATATCCTAAACCTAGACTCTACATATACTAACGCCTACAATGGGCTAAGGACAACTAAAAAAATACGCCAGAAAACTCTAAAAAAGAGCAGAGCCGCAACAGTGCAAAGCGGAACCCTACCCTCTCGTTCATCATCTTCTTGAAGCAACCATCTATGGCTTTTTGCTGAACAAAATAACAGACCCCCCCCCCAACGTTTTCATCTGGAGCTTCCACGCCAAAGAGAACACCAAATACAGACCCCCACTCCCTGTAACTTCATCTTCTCGACAACAATAAGACCCCTCCGACTCTGTTTCTTCTTCAGCACAAAAACGACCCCATTTCTCTTCTTCTTAAATGAGAGCTAACCCCTAAATCTATGGATGAAGAAGAGAACAAAATATACAGAAGGAGACAGGCAACGAATTAGATCTGAAAACTAAGAAAAGGTCTCTGAAAATCTTGATTTCCAAGAAGTTTGGGGTCGAGATTCGGTGCTCGACTGTGGAGGTTTGCCAGACTGGTGCGATTTCAGTCGAGGTCCGGTCAGGGGCGTATGCATCGTCAAGTTTTAGAACAGTCAGGATAATTTCGTTATAGAGGTCCGGTTTAAACTTTTCTACTTTATCTTTTCTCACGTGAATGTGCTGTATTTATTTGCTATCCTACCTTTAGCTATTGTTATATGGAATTTGCTTTCTCTGCTTCACATTGATTTGGGTAGTCTTTGGTTTCTTCAGTTTTTAATTTTCAAGTATAAGAAAACGTTATGCAAATATAAATATGTGTGGAAGAACAAAGCTACTTAGCGTGCTAATGAGTTCAATCAGAATATCTTATTAATGTGTATTTTATTGTTTCACTTATTGATTGTTTCGCTTAAGGAAGTCGTGAGGTCAGTCTTTGCCAAAAAAAGAGAATCTTATTAATTGAAAATAAGTGAAATATGGATTT